TGTGTGTGTGTGTGTGTGTGTGTGTGTGTGTGTGTTATAAATGACATTTTGACAAATATGTCATTTTGATGGTGCAGCCTGGGTGGTTTCTTGCTCCCAATAAAATCCTAAATCAGAAAATCAATCTTACAAAAAAGCAACCAAAGAAGTGTTGAATATTCTCAATCCATCATATATTTGTTTATGTAGTTATTTATTTGTTTTTTAGTACGGCTAAATTAAGAAAAAAATGGAAAACCTTGGAATAGGTATAAGAAGAGTGCTAAGACAATCATTTTGGTGATAATTCTAACATCCAAAAAAGATAAAGGATTGATCATCACATCACCTTATGGTTCTTAACAACATGCTGCTCAATCAAGATGTGGTGTGGGCCTTACCAGCTTCAGCTTTACTGTCCTCTGCATGGTTTATAAGAAGGAAGCGTGGACTTTCAGGACAGAAAGGCAGGACCAGATACTGTGTGATGGCTGGAATGAGAGACAGCAACAGCATGATGGCCCAGTAATCCTCTGTACCCAGCACCGTGTCCAGACCAGCCACCTGCAGCAAACAGGGACAACAGATTGACTTTACATCCTTTCACAATCAGCCACAACAAATATAACAGAGTAGTACACTATAAGCTCCATGCTTACCATTCCTACCAGGATGCCAGAGGCAAAGGACACCTGGTTGAGTGTGGCAAAGGCCCCTCTCAGATTGGTAGGGGAAACTTCCTGAATGTATAGAGGGTTAAGACTCATCACTAGACCACAGAAAAGACCAAACACCAACCGTCCCAGGATGAGAACTTCAAATAAGCCGCTGGCTTTGGAGGCAAACATAATGCACGCCCCCACCACAGACAAACTGTTAGCTATCAAGATGGAGTTACGCCTGCAGAGGAAAAAAATAAATAAACATGTAGTTAGCTGGATTAAACTGGACTGAGAATATATTACTTTCCCAAATCCTTGCCTGCCATGAGAATCTGCCAAGTATTTAACTCCCAGTGAGCCCAGCAGAGCCCCGAAGTCCTTCGTGCTGACAGAAACCGACCACAGCAGAGTCAGGCTGTGATCTGGCATCGACTGGTTGTGTCTGGCTCTCCAAGTGTTGTTGAAAAACTCTTCAATGATCTGAACATCAATGAGAACAAGAGAAAATATGATTAGTGGTTTAACCTGAAGCTTGAAGTCATGTACAGAGGTTGTACCTTCTATGAAATAAATACATTCTCATTATATGTACTACAAGGTATCACACAAGTACTACACAAGTATCACACAACTACTACATAAGTATCACTGGCCTGTTGAAGCTTGGACGACTCCCCAAAATCAGAAACATTGCTTAAGTTTGTCTGAGAAAWGGTAAAACCCTGAAGGCGCCGAATCCGGAGCCAAGTCAGAGATTTTCGGGGGGTTGTTAACTTTGTTCAGTCTTCATCAAGAGAGTGYAATATTTGTTGGACTGTCCACCGGCTGTCTGGCCTTCCCTTCGGCAGGGCTGATGAATGCAGTTCTAAAACCATGTGTGTCTGTCTGTTACCTAAATATTTCATGAACCCTGCACGAATTTGAATGAATTTCTCARGTAATAATCATTGCATGGACATCAGTTTAACTTTGGAAATCAGGTTCAAGATGGTGGCCACAGCCAACTGAGATTAAAAACAGACATCGTTACAACTCAGCCAATTATACAGATACTGAAATACACATATGTATGACATGTCCCAATATCACAAGATTGCACATAATTTTGTGTTCAAGGTTTCCTTCAAGGGACGCTAAGACTTTATAATAAGAAAAATTAATAAAAATGTTTGATCAGCCTAATAAAAAGCATAAAACACAACATTAATAAAAAACATTTATGTGTAACGGAGAATCATTCACAGTAAATATGAGTGTTGATTTAATGTGCAGTTGTTGTTGATCATCTCTGACTGAAGCTCTTTACTGATGACCTCATGGTTTGCACCTGTGGGAATCCACCTGGCCCAGCTCCTCTCTCCCAGCTGGTCTGAAACCAGCCTGTTGTCTGGTTTGGTTCCTGTCTGTCTACTTGTTCCTACCTGACCCTAGTGATGGAAAACCAGTAAATCAGTACGAAGCAAATGTGTGAAATGACTCAGTGCTTTGAAGAATTTGAAACATTTAGGTTTGGCGCCATCTGCTGGCCAACCTTTAACATGCAGCTACATGAAACATAAAAGGACAAAGTGTCATCAGGCAGGCTGTGTTATGTGTAATAACAGTTCTGCACGTATCTTAAAAATTTTAACGTTGTTTGAAAAGATTATTAATAAATTATGGTGAAATTATGACGGTATTATCATAAATAATTCTGCTGTAATTGCACATCTGTGTTTCTTGTCTGCACTGTGACACTCTACAGTTAGTTTGTTGAGATTGTTTTGCACTGAAAAAAGGCAATTTATGATTCCTAATGTCAGMTTCTGATAATCTACTGTCTCTAAAATAAAACACATTTTGTTTCTGTATAATTCTTTGTCTTATATTTTTATTAGTAGTAGTTGCATCTTTGCTAGTTAGTGTTAAGAAAATGAACCTCTGTACTGATTCTGCTGTGACACCTGAATTTCCCCTCTGCGGGACAATAAAGCCTATTCTATTCTATTCTATTCTATTCTATTCTATTCTATTCTATTCTATTCTATTCTATTCTATTCTATTCTATACTATAAAATACTGTAATGATGACATAGGTGCCTCTGACTTTGACGTCAACCTGGAGCTCATTGTAAGTTATTAAGATAAGATAAGGATAAAACTTTTTGTCAATTCAAAAATGGAAATTTTGTTTACATAAACTGTTTGAYGCACATCACAACATCACAAACAATTATCAAAATGATTAAAAGAAAGAAACTAAAATGTAATCTACACTAATGAGTTCATTTTTTTCCTCCTCTGATTTAGGAGTTTGATGGAATTTGGCACAAAAGAGTTCTTGTATTTGTTTTTCCTGCAACAAGGCGCCATGAATCAGCAGAAGTTCAAATTCACTGTTCAACACGTGAGCTGATCTGAAGAGCTTTTATCTGCCAGTCCTGCAATGATTTACATACAGTCGATCTATTTCATTTATTACAGTTATGGTAAATGTTCAAATTGTGAGCTTTCAGCTTCAATTTATTCTCAGCAACATGAAAACACACTGACATACCTGGGTACACAAGTACTAACTGCAGAGTAACTTTACAGACAACTTGTATGTATTAATTTTAAAATAATTCATTCATTCAGATCATCTCATCATTTGATATCCTCTATATTTATTTTAAAATTTTATTATTATTTATCAATTGTTTTTGTAGGTCCATCTTTTTAAGGCAGGAGAATGTGAAACCGGTTATTTTTAAAACTAAACGATTTATTTTACCTAATTTAAAAGTTTTTATGACAATCTATAGATAAATCTTTCATAATGAATATACGTAATCTCATATTTACACTATTTTTTTCTTGCTCTCTGGGATTTCCTTTGTCAGCTTGTGATTAATTTCTTGGATTAAAGTTGAATTTCCTCCATAATAAATTAATGGTTGAAAAATTGTATGAAAAACAAAGTTTAAATACAATATTTTTAAATGTGGTCATTATCAGTTGTTACATTAAAGCCTGTCCCTCAGGATATAGTGTCACATTCATACAGTGGACTGTCTTTGAAACAGGGCGTCGCCTCTACCTTGTTGGTTTTTCAGCTCAGACTGACCTGAGTGGATATTTTTAGATAAAATTAAACCCAAATTTGAATCTGAATTTGGACACATGGTTTCATCAGGACATTTTCTCCCTGTTTTTAGATGGAAATGACTCTGCTCAGTCATTTCCACAGAACAGGATTGTCACATGAGGGTTATGGTGGCCCCCAAATTGTGTAATCAATTTGGACATTTCTTGTGTGATTCCAACTAAACACAAAACCTGAAGTTCCTCGTCTCATTGCTACGACTGAGCACCATTAACAAACACTAACTGAGCTCTCTGTGGTATTTCCTGCATAGAAACAGAGTTTTAACACTAAATGTGAAATAAATAATGCAGAAATGCTTCTGAAAGTAAAACAAAGTTTTACTCCATGTTGAATTGTGGTCAGTTGCCACCAGCTTGAGTTTTGAACTCTTCCACTTTCCTACAGTGGGGAAATTCAGGGGCGGATSTAGGATTTCTCTGAGTAAGGGGCCATCAAGGGGCCACAATATTGATAGAGGGGCCAAGTATTTATTCAGCGTCCTTGCACACAAATCGCTGGCTTTGGTATGGTGTATTTACCAGTYACRCATTTAAACACTTGTAATGTAATTTTAAAACAGCTTGCACTGTAAATTCTCCTTACCAAATTTACATACATTTTACAGTACATAAATAAAATACTGTCAAACACACATTTGAGATGATCCAGCCATCATTTGTGAGTTAAAATACCTTTTCTACGGGATTTTTCAAATTTTAAGAAAAGAAAAATACTTCTGTCAGCTTGATTCATGCTGGACTTTTCTATTTGGCTCATTAGCGCCCCTAGTGTTTAGACATGGAACTGCACCCTGCATCATCACTCTTGGGCAAAGGACAGGTGAGTGACAGGACAGGGGCACTTCTGGGGGCTAATCAAATTTCAGCAGGGGTCAATGCCCCTGTGGCCCCRACYCTAGGAAATTCCCACTTCRCAAAACAACAGGGCTACTTYTGAAGCCTGTGCAGCCCCACCTAGTGGTGGGATGCTGTCATTGTGTGGGTAAAATAATTAACATGCATTATGGGAGTAGTTTAAGGACAAYGCTGGCTTTAAAGTASCATAYRCCTATTTTAAAACATTAATACATCTTTGAAGTTGTTACGGGGCACACAGACTTCAGTGGTGGGCCACATCTGAGCCTCTTCGACTTTCTGTAGAAAGAAGTTTCACAGACTTCACTGAGTCAGTGACAGAAGAAGTAACTGGTTGTGTTCAGTAAAAAAAGGATTAAAGTGATATAAACTCAACTTTAAACTCAACCTTTAACTTCCAGTTTGCATTTTGTTCAAACAGAAAACAAGTTATTTATTTTGGTCAAATTATGACAAACACATAACATTAAAAAATAGAATTAATGTGCCCAAAACTGAAAGTTTAATTCGTCTTTTCAGCATGAGGCTCATGAGCTCACCTTTCCTGGAGCGTTGATGTTGCTGCTGTGGTATCCAGCCTGTAAGGAGCCGAGCACCGCTGCCAKGATGGAGGTCAGGAGAGTGGCTGTCAGATGGTTCTGTACAACATTAAAGTTTATAACATCAGTTTCTTTAGCCTGAAATATGTGGCACACATTTCAGACATCTCTCATTTTGTCTTTACAATCAGAGGAAATAGTTTTCCTGAAAGTGTTACGTGCATGTTTTTAGGTTTTATTTGAAACATGAAATTAAATGAACAAAAGATACATGTTCAGCTGCAGATGTAGGAAATGTAATTTAGATTTTGAGAAATGATTTTTCCACGCTGTGCAAATATGATTCACAGATCCAGGGGCGGTTCTAGGGGCGGGGCCACAGAGGTGTCCTGTCACTCATCTGTCCTTCACCTGGGGGTGATGATGGTGGGTGCAGTTCCATGTTCAAACACTAGAGGCGCTCATGAGTCAAATAGTAAAGTCCAGAATGAATCAAGCTGACAGAATTCTTCTTCTCTTCTTTAAATTTGAACAATCTCACGTGTGTGTTTCAAAATATTTTATCTATGTTCAGTAAAATGTATGAAAAACTGTTGAGGAGAATTTACTGTGCCAGATTTTTGGTACCACTTTACAATAAGGCTCCCCTTATAGATGACTTATAAAGAGTTTATAGATAGTTTATTAATTCATTTGTAAAGTTTACACTTTATAAATCATTAATAAATGAAACTGGGCAATTTTGTCTCTCGTCCTTAATTATTGCACAATAAACACTTAATGATTTTTAAAGTATTTCCAGCTTAATTAATAACCTATTTATAAAACTCTTTAAAAGCCATCAATAAGGGGGGCCTTATTGTAAAGTGGTACATTTTAAAAAAATTACATTACAAGTGTTTGAAGTGTAAAATGGGAATTTGTGTGAAAGGATGTTGAACAAAGACTTGGTCCCTCTATGAATATTGTGGCCCCTTGATGGCCCCTGACTCAGAAAAACCCTAGATCCGCCCCTGCACAGATCACTAGCCAACTATGCACATAACATAATTAGATTAATTTTAAAAAACAATGTTGACAAGGATTCAGGTAGAGCATAGAGGAGTAAATAGTGTTTTTAGAGGAGGAAATGCCAACAAACCTCCCGGGCAGCCATTTGGTAGAGTCCGATCAGGTTTCACTTCTCCAGGTTTATGGATGAAAGTTCATTAACTGTCTTCTGGTTGGAGGTTTCTGCAACAAAACCCAGGTGATGAAAAACAAAAACTACACACTTGAATAGTTTTCATACTCATGTAATATAAAAAATGCTAATTATGAAACAAAAATCTGCATTTAGATCATTTAAATTGTACATTTGAGTGATTCTACACTTGTTATTAGCTGAAATATTGTTTCTTCAGTTCATCTCACCTAACAGAAGCACAATGCAATTTTCAGAAGTTATATGACATTTGGACATGAAGGTACACACACATACAAATCATTGTTTTAAGGTACTTACCTGTGTTGTGTTTGTTCCAGGAGTGTTTAAAATGTTACAAATAATAAATCTTATAAAAATGTAGAAGCTGAAACAGATCCCTTCTTCAGCCCTGACGTTCAGATTTGACTGTGTACATTTGGCACATATTGGAGCTTCGAGTCCAACTACAAAGTCACACCCTGCTGCTGAATTTAGGTCAGACCTGACAAAATGGTGACAGTGGGCCTGACAGGGGGGTCCCAGCTGACCGAGGGTCTGTCAGAACTGATCGCACCCAGACCTCAGAGCCTGGAAACTGTTCTCAGGTCAGCTCAGTGTGGAACCTCTGTGTGTGTGTGTGTGTGTGTGTGTGTGTGTGTGTGTGTGTGTGTGTGTGTGTGTGT